TTTAATATATATATATATATATATATATATATATATATATATATATATATATATATATATATATATATATATATATATTGATAAAATCACATGGAAAAAACAACGGAGCACCTTAGCTTCGTCTTTATTCAAGACATCTTTAGAGGCAAGTGAATTACATGGATAGAGGGCTTAAATATACAGGGTGACATAAACACGAGGTCAGGTCATAATGATGTCATCAACTAATCCCCACACCAACATCTTATCCATGTTTTCATTGTGGATCTACATGAAATATATATATATATATATATATATATATATATATATATATATATATATACAGTATATATATATATATATATATATATATATATATATATATATATATATATATATATATATATATATATATATATATATATATATATATATATATATATATATATATATATATATATATATATATATATATATATATATATATATATATATATATATATATATATATATATATATATATATATATATATATATATATATATATATATATATATATATATATATATATATATATATATATATATATATATATATATATATATATATAGTTGCCATATCTGAACATTAAAAAAAAGAGGACGTTCCCGAAGACATCATGCCCCCCCCCCCACACCTGGCACACACTTTGGCGCTATGTAACCTTGATGCAGCCGTGACCTTTTTATGCTCTGGAAAAGTACAACAAATCGTAAGCACTAGCTGTGGCAACAAGCGACAAACCCACAACAAAGACTAAGATCAAACACTGTCACTGCAGGTTAAAGACTGGCCAACCACCGGTCACCGTCATGGTTGTCAACACACGTGAATAATAAAGCGAAAGTGGCTAGATTATGGTTGAAAATTGCTAAAATGCCTTAAATGTAGGAGAAAAAAAACCCAAATGCTACGGTGTAAAAAAGCCATAAGAAAAAAATGGTATACTTTCAACATTTCATTTATGGCTGTAATAGCACTAAATAAAAACCAAAAACAATAATGCGAGTGGCTGAAGAACAAGGAAAAGCAGTACAAGGCACTACAGGCTAGCCCAAAAACTGCTAGCAGCTAAGTTGACGACACCGTACAGGCGTACACGTGACTTATTAGCTGACGAAAACTGAAAGAGATCTCTACTGTTTCCACCTCCCCTCTCTCAGTCTCCCTCTCTCTCGTCATTACAGTTTCATATTTCTTTCCGTGGAGAAAATGATGGAAGCTGAAATTCCAGACTTTTGAAGAATTTTAAAAATTACTTTACTTCCGGATGAAGATTTCGAGACCTAAATGGAGGACATGTCTGGTTCCAGAAGGATTTGGGATCTGGCCCCCACTGCCTTAATTGTAGATGGCGCTGATCTAAGAGATGTGCTTGTCGGCTGTTTATTTACATTTTGCTCCATGCCATCCTGCTTGGCGACATATAGATCTAGTGCCCAGAGGTTCAGGAGAGATTCTATAACTTTCCACCGGTAAATGTTGAAGCTGTGATTATTTCAAGCAGAAGTGTATTAAATAAGGAAAATGAACGTCTGCAGGATTTTTTCCCAGGGGGTGAGGGACAAGTAAGCAAGACATGACATCAGTTTATTCATAACAGGTACAGTATAGTATATAGTATATACATCCATATAAAAGTATGATCTAGTATGATGGAGGTACTTTCGAGTAATGTATGATCAGAAAAATAACATCAGTTTTACCACCAAATTATTAATCACTAATTTTATCCTAGGGTTGACCTTGGCATTAAAAACTAACGAAAATAATTCACTTGATATTAATCCTAAACACCTAGAATGGCCAATGCTATCTATTATTTTTGTTTATGGGGAATAGCCCACCCGGGCACAGGTCATCGACCCACATCTGGACCTAGGGGGCGAAAAAACAAGAGTAAAGAGAAATTCAAAACAGAAAAGAAAAAGATTATATTAGCACCACGATGCCGGAAAACCAGCTTTTTAAAGTGAGACAGGTTGTAAGAGTATGGAAACACAGAAGGCAGAGCATTCCACAGTTTGGCTGTGTGACGAAAGGATGTATACTGTAACGGGTTATTCTAGTGTGACCGACAGCCACAGAGAAACGGTGGGCACCGCGGGCAAGACGTGTGTTACAAGCCCACGGCCTTGCCGGCGGTACACAGGATACCAAATCCACCGAACATTACCTGTTAACGTACCTGTAAAAGAAAGAGTGAAGCAACATTGTGGCGAAGAGAAAGGGGAGAAAGATTATCAACTAAAGGGGGAGAGTAAAAAAGACGATGGTGACTTGAGCTAAGATTCCATTCACACGGTAGCGGTAGCGCCAAAAATAGATCATCTTGAAATGTACACGGTTATTTCTATAGGCACGGTTGCGTTGACGTTATGCGTGTGCAGTACATTTCAATCGGTCTTTGTAGTGATTGAAAACGCAACCGTATGGAAACGGACGAGGGAATCCCACACTGTGACGTCACTAGTTCCTGCTTCATACCCGTGCTCTCTTCACCGAGCAAAATATTCTCTGAAGTTTTCTCCATCCAAGCTTAGCTCTTTTGTAGGCTCCAAATTTGGGCCGATACTGCAGCATTTTTTATGTACCCACCATCAGGCCCGTCCTTTAGGGGGGGGCGAATAGGGGCGACCGCCCGGGGCCCCGCGTGTGTGGGGGCCCCGCGGGGCCCAGCACTAGACCCAGTGACCTTGGACACATTACCTGTTGACTGGTTAATCTGACCTGACGGCTTACGCCACAATCGCAACCGTGACTTTACCATCCATAGCGACAGTCCCATGGGGGTTGGTGGGGCCGCGCAGTGGTTGAGTTGCCCCGGGCCCCGCACCCCCCTAGGGACGGCCCTGCCCACCATCTAAGTTTCCTTGAGCGTTTTCCTTTGCATTAAGCATGATCTTATGCAGGTACAAAACCAGGATAATTAATAGCAAATTAACGCTTTTCATATAAATAGCGTCGTAGCTACGATGCACTGGGAGCTATCTTTCCTATCCTGTTCCCGATAAGACAATATGCAGCTGCAAATGGAAACAGGCGTGTCGTTTTCCAAGGCAATTTAACGAAAACGGTTACTGCAAACGCATGTATGGAATCCTAGCTTAAATCAAAACATTAACAGTGTAATTTCAATAGTTAAATAAATACTGCACACGGCGTTTTTCCGCTCCAAAACGATCAATAACTTCAGTGAAAGGTATTTTTCTAACACCTGGCGATGCACACTGAGCTACACCCCCACCCTGCGGACGCCCATGCCTATATTTACTCTATTAATTTCTGTTAACCTGCTGGGTATATGAGTGTACCCAGAGGGACAAGAGAGATTCTATAAGATTCCGGTGATAAGTGTTGAAATTGTAATTAAGTCATACCAAGCAGAAGAGCCAGTTTAGTATCGGCACTGTCTTCATGTCTTTTTCCACCCCCCCCCCCCATCCCCGGTGATGGTTAAAATTGTATTATGTATTGTGATGTAGGCTACCCACAGTAGTGTTTGCCAAACATTTGGAGGAAAGTGCCCAGTGTGCCGCTGCCTTAACCTTTGCTATGTCTTCTTCCTCGCAGCTACACACGGGGCAGGGGGGGGGGGGCTAAGAGAGAATGGTCACGGACATTACAAATTGGGAGGCCACTCCGTGTTGAATTTTTACCTTATTTACCTAATGGCCATTCACTATAGGTAGTCGTGCCAAGGGAAGGGGGCTAGTGGCCTATGTTGGAACCACCATTGTTTTTGAAAATTTAGTCTTGGGTTACTTTGAAGCCAAGTACTGTTTTCGAGTCTATGAGCCGGTAGATAATAAACTGTTTATGGAGAGAGAGATGTATTGAAGTCTGCTTCATTTATTTACTTTATTTAGTTATTATTCATTGAGGTTAGGCTGGGTTAAAACTTATTTCCAAAGAAAATTAGTATCACCCTTGGAAAGAGGAGTAAAACAAACAGCAGAAAACATGCCTTCTGTGCAGTGTGCCATACCTTCAAAATCTGTAAACAGTACTGTATTATCATAGTTTGAATCTTTTCATTTCCAATATGAATGTTTACGAGGCATATATATTTTAAGAGTGATGAAATTAAACAGAATTGCATTGTTATTTGACTAAAAAAAATTAATGTGAATCTTTGACTAATTTCAACATAGTCGGGCACCAGTGCTCTCCGTCTGGACGGGCATGATAAAATGAGTTAACTCGCCCGTGTCGACGGGCATGTTCGAAACGGAGAGCAGACGTTTCCCCGATTTACACGACGACCACCAAACGGGTAAGACGTTGTAGTGGATTCCTCCCCTACAAACGCTTGTCGCTGAGTAGCCGACCCCGCGAATTCCCCAGTGTATGCCTCGTGGTCTAGGTCAACCAGCGCCGCCTTACATGACGGAGGTCAACTATTAAGCCACGCCTACCTCCGCTATATAAGACCTGACCTCGTGGTGACCTATCTCTTTTCTACCTACACCAACCAGTAAGCAACACCTCCTGCCTGGCGGCCCTCGCTCCCGCCGGCGAGCATGGCGACCCACAAGCTGGTCCTCCTCTGAGCACCCTCACCAACCAGCTCTCTCTACTCAACGCTTGTAACCATGCTGTCTTCCCAGCACCAAGCTGCATTGTACATCCAATGCAATATGTATACAGAGAGAGCACATTGTGAGTTTCCTTTCTCCATCCCATCCTGAGTGTGAACCAATGACCCGTACCCCACAACGTCATCAATTGCTATGTGACGTCAGAGACGGCCGTCAAAACGGGCTCGTGAGAATCGGGCTTAAGATATTCTGAACTTTGGCGTCTGGTCTCCTCAGTTGTAAACCAATTATTTTGACAGATAGGTGGATCAAGTTAAATGCTACCTTGTTCATCGAGCATGTGCTAGGGTGATTCACTATTGCTGCAGTGAACTCGCGTGCTTGACGAATCCGACAATTCTTATGAGAGAAATGGAAACAGGGAAAAAAAATCTACTATACTCTCAAGTAGTCTTTAATGATACAAAACAAGGATATTTGATGTTCAATATTTTGATGATTATTCGTATCCAAAAGTAGTGTGCTATAAAATTATATCACTGATGTTACAATATAATAACATTTGCCAATAGTTGTGTAAGGTGCGAGATTACATGTAAAAATTTATTGAACATATTTGCGTGAAACAGCTTTGAGAAACGGTGGAGGAAGATGTCATTTGCTGGTCCAAAACAATGAGCGAGTTCATTTCATCTCCGCTCGTCTTTATTGTCTTCTCCATATTGGGTTTTACCTAATCGTTGTCATCGGTGTCGTCATCAGTGTATTCATCGGTGTCGCTATCGGTGTCGTCATCGGTCTCTGCAGAGCGCGTCTGCTTGTTAGCTCTCTGTTCAGATACCGGGGGGGAAGACGGGACGAGAGCAGCTTCCTTGGAGCGTTTGTTACGTAGGCCTACTTGGTTGTTGACGGACACTTCGTGAGGGATTAAAGCCCCTGAGACGGAGGCCACCAGCACGACCAGCGCCATCACCACCAACACACTACGCAACATCGTTCCTTCTGGAAAATAGTAAAAAGATTATATAAGATACAGGGTATATGTTATAAATACATACATTAAACTTACGAAGTGAAGATTTACAGATTTATATTGATAGCTGCTTGTTGACGTGTGATCTGTGCAGTAACAAGGTACCAGCTGACTCCTAGATAATAGTTTCAACATATACAGTATACGGGACATATATGGGATTGTTTCTTATTTCACAGCCTTTTGCCGTTATCTCGAAAGGTGTGTCGGGGCATGCACATAATTGTATGAGTGACTGATACTTTGACTTGACAAAATAGTCCATGTATATGAGTTCAACGCCTCATACACATACAAGGTATAACTGTAAAAATAAACAATTACTGTTTTCGTTCACAGTTCTAATCTCGCTTCTCAAAACAATGTGATACAATATTGTAGTTATTTGCGTTAAGTTGCGCAGCAGTGGTGAACTTTATGTGTTGTAAGTTTGCATCTTAGGAGATACTTGGCCATGAACCAATGCCCGAAGTGTATGATCCATACATTTAGGACAACCGGCTAATAGTGGTTACTTTGCACTATGCTTGATGCTTTAGATCAGGCATGGGCAACCTTTCCTCAGTCATGGGCCGCATTACGATTTAGGTAATTTTCTGCGGGCCTACCTACCAAAATTATATCCTACCTATTACCTAACCCAAAAGTACTGTTAATATTGTGTTAGCACGGAAAGTGAAGCGTTTTATCGTCACGTCCACCTTACAATATTTTCAATTCACAATCAGTCTTTCCTATTTATGAAACAAATCCATCATAATAATTTTTAAAGTAATATGCTAATGTTTCTAGGCATTTAACAGATGACTGAAGCATTCTGTGAATACGTTGATTTTTCCTCCAGTTACAGCATTGTTCTTATGAGACACCCACCAGAATAATGCCAATGTGAATCTTGATATTTGAAGAACTACAATGAAACAACCTAGAGGAACACCCCTCTCTCTCTCTCTGTATATATATAGATATATCATGTAGATCCACAATGGAAATGTGGACAAGATAAATCTTGATAAAACCACACAGGAAAAGGGAAACACTAGAACACCTTAACTTTCGTCTTAATTCAAAACATCTTCAGAGGCAACTGAAGATGTCTTGAATATATATGTATATATATATATATATATATATATATATATATATATATATATATATATATATATATATATATATATATATATATATATATATATATATATGCAAGTAAATCACTGTAGGTGCGCGTGATCCAGGTATATGCTGATAACCACAAGGAAAAAGAAAACACGAAGTTCCCAAGCGCTTTCGTGTAATTCACATCTTCAGGGGTGAGTACAGACTAAGGAGAAGTACAGAACAAGTTATATATATACAGAGGAGGGTGAGATCAAGTCCACAGTGGTCAGGTATAGGTAATGACCCTACTAATCTTCACAAAAGCACCGCAGCGGTCGGTAGTCAGGTCAGAGGGTAAGCTGACCCAACCTTCTCACCTGGTTACAAATCTTCTTAATTACGAAATTATCCAATTTGTACATACCATTACTCAAATTCATGTTGACGGATTCGGTATGTTTAATGAGACTAGATTCTATAATGTTCCTACTGTCAATTGAATTACAAGGTAATATTGAGGAGGCATTATCCCAGTCAATGCAATGCTTATTATCCCTCAAATGAACAAACAGAGCATTGGATTCCTGGCCTGTCCTAACATTATATTTATGTTGTGTAAGTCTAGACTTAAACAACATAAATATAGTGATACACACAGTAACGAATTGTGTGAGTAAAGATTATTCCCTTAATAAATATTGCTTTACTCACAATAAACTGGCTGCATCTACCCGAACCGCGGGCCACATTAAATAGAATTAATTGCTCAATCACTCCACGGGCTGCGCAAACACATGGTCCAGCCACGGGCAGCGAGTTGTCCATGCCTGCTTTAAATAGACAATTTCGATAGAAAATGGGTAAAGGGGCTGATTTTGTTTACATAACATAAATTTACTGTAAGCAATTCTGTATCTTCGTGGAAAACTATGTGGCACGGAATTTCTTAAAACACAGCTGAGCGTTTGTATATGTTAAGTGTTTTTTGCGGAATTGGTTATTTTGCAAAATAACTTACAAACAGACAACCTAAACTAACCTAAACTTATGGTTGAATAAGGTTAGGTAAGGTTAGGATGGCTCGTGTAGCTTGATACAGTTAAGTAGTCCTGTTCTGTTTTTTTTCTTTTACTTTGGACTGTGCTGTTCTAAACATAAGGTTTAGTTAATTTAGGTTGTCTGTTTGTAAGTTATTTTGCAAAATTACCAATATGGACGCTGGTCATTTTGCAAAATAATCGATTCCGCAAAAAATCGCAGATACACTGTACTGTAGTTTATTTGAGAAACGGTGTGACGGATAACCGTCTCTAGAGACGTGGGTATCGGTAATTGGCTGTGGTTAGTGGATTCGTCCCCTACAAACACTGTTTGTCGCTGGCTAGCCGACCCCGCGAATTCCCCAGTGTATGCCTCGTGGTCTAGGTCACCAACCAGCGCCGCCTTACATGACTGAGGTCAACTATTAAGCCACGCCTACCTCCGCTATATAAGACCTGACCTCGTGGTGACCTAGCGCTTACTACCTACAGCCACCAGCAAGCAACACTTCCTCCGCTCCTGCCTGGCGGCTCCCACTCCAGCCGGCGATCGTGGCGACCCACAAGCTGGTCCTCCTCTGAGCACCCACACCAACCAGCTCTCTCTACTCAACGCTTGTAACCATGCTGCCTTCCCAGCACCAAGCTGCATTGTACATCCAATACAATATGTATACAGAGAGCACATTGTGAATTTCCTTTCTCCATCCCATCCTGAGTGTGAACCAATATCATGTACCCCACAATATAACTAAAGTATCTAATTTTTCTTCTTTCTGTGCATTTCAAGTATTTCTCTTTAAGTTTTGCCTTTCGTAGCACTTCTTCATTTGTTTTCCTGTCAGCGTAACCTATTTTTAACATTTGCCTATAACACCACATTTTAAAGGTCTCCAACTTCTTTCTGGTGTCTGCTGAAAGTGTCCACACTTCTGACCATATTAAGCCCTTAAACAGACCTTTTATTTTTCTCAAATTACAGTTAATGTCCCTTTTTATTAGGTCTCATATTATAATTTTTAAATTCTGGTTTTGCTTGAAACTTTCTTGTTATGATTTATTTCATTAGTGCTAGATGAAAGCGAAAAATTCCAGTACAAGTGCCCGCAATTAGCTTTTGGGATGCGATTAGTAATAGGGTGGGGGATGGGGTTTGTATAGGGGTTAGGAATGGGGGATGGGTTTAGGGTTTCGGGATGGGGTTTGAGAATAAGGTTCATAAAGGGGTTAAGAAGGGTTAATGATGGGGTTAAGGCAAGTGTCTCCTAACAACACTTGACACATGTCTGTTAAATTGTATCTATTTGATATGGCACAATACGTAATAACTTCCAACAGTCCCACCCACCAGCCACTGTTTTGACTGTGACCAATAATGATGTACGTATTTATTGGTTACGTTGCAAGTTTCCGCACTGCAGTCGGGCGATCCTCGAGGATGCCTTGGTGAGGACAAGCGTGGTGGTTTTGTGAGTAATTTACATGTTAATTTAAAATTGACCTAGAATCTAGACGATAGTCCGACAAAAGGTCTATCTGAGAATTTTGCCACCGTTTGTATTTCCATATACTGGGTAACAAATAACATGGCATGGGTTGTCGATTATTACTGTAATCCATGCAAAATATACGTTTTAATACTTCCAACAATAATCTGACAGACGGCTCTCTCTCTCTCTCTCTCATCAGAAAAACACAAAGAATTCTTTCTTTCAATTTAGGCAATTGCATTGTGCGTGCGGGTGCAGGAGGCTGAGATGGGTATATGTTACTTGACAGATGTTACCTCCAGTGCCTTTCCTTTTTTCATAACATTGTAGTCCTACCACTGTGGTTCCTCTGGACTATTAGCAAATTCTCGCTTTTTTTTCACCGCCTCTACAACAATTAATTTCTTACCTGGAATGGATGTGGCGAGTGAGCTGTTTGTTAGTGCTGACGATCGACCAACCGCTATCACCTAAAAGTCAGGAACTACTGATGCACCTGACGTCGTACTGCATGTACATTGTACACCATCCACATTTCCGGTAATTGTCAATGTCGCTGTTTGTACCATTGTGCTTGGATGTCCCTTTGTTTCCCATGACACGGATGTTTCACAATGCGCCGTGATAATATTATAAGCACATAGTTTTGGGTATGTAAGTTTTAGTTTTCCTTACTTTCTGATGTTCCCAAACAAAGCGGAGGCTTGTTTATTTATTTTGTTTTAAGTTAGCTTGCCTGTCATATATGCGTGTGTTATCTTTCCTCACCGTGAAAATATGAATTAGGTTCCTTAATGCCGGGGTCTAGCAGCCAATATTAATGCCTCGACACCCAGACGCTGCTACTCGCCCTTATCGTTTACCGAGATTCTATAGGAAGTTCAGATCTTTTTTATAATCTACGATACCATTTTCTGCAAGAAGAAGTAATATTTAGTAATTATATATCAAAAGAAGGCTAACACTTAAAATACGGCACAAAAGCACTCAAGTGTTATTGGCGAGGATGGCCTGACGGGCCGACCCTGGGGTAAGGGTTTTCAAGCTCCACCCCTACCAAGTGTTTATGTCAGTGAGAAAAAAAAGAGATCAAAAGTCGTTTAAAAAAAATCATTGCTGCAAACGATGAGTGGAAAACTTAAAATTGTCATAATTAATAGAGCGCAGGAGGCACGCATGCATGGGTTGATGCCAGCTTCTGCTTCGAAGCCACAGATCTACCGATGTGACAAGCGCCTAGGCGGAGTATACGCTACTCTCCTGGAAGGATGATAAACATCTGGTATGGGACTACATATACATACTTTATTTCCATCTTTTGATACTTACCCAGCCCCTCATTGCAACTGAGGTGGGGAGAGCAGCAAGTTCAAAGGTTTACCAGAAGGGAAAGTACAGGTATGTACTATACAAT